ATATGTACACCACAAGTTTCACACCAGCGAAAATTGTCTTGAATATAACACATTTTTTAGTGCTTTTTTACGTCTTCCGTCAAAAAGGGCTTCCTTTCAATTATCGCAACACTTTGAACATCCTCTTGGTTTTGTGGCACTTCTCGCTTGTCACAACTTTTTCCAACATGATTATTGTCTATTTGCATTGATTGCAAATAATAAAAAAAACTAGAGCTCATCATCCAGCGTTTGGGCGCTCAAACTAGTTTCAAACAGTTTTTTTTTCTTTTTTCATAAATCATAAATTTTGACATAATCAGAGTTGGATCGTTATTTACATGCGGTGAATGTGCACGAGATTACACATATCGAGTGCCGAAGGGCTTGGGACGCCTGAAATACGGCAATATTTTCACATATTTCTCTATTTTCAGTCATTATCCGTCATATTTCAAATATTTGGAATATTTGATGTAATCAAGGCAACATTTCAGTAAAAATTTTGACATTTCTGACGTTTTTTCACTTTTCCGCACACGAAGTGTGAAGGAAAGTATAGCGATCGTCGTGAAAATTTTAAATTTTCTTTGTATACACGATAACTTACAAAATAGTAGAGCAATTTTGCTGAAATTTGGCCAGGAGGTAGCTTACGTAAATATCTTGGATGTATCAGAAGTTGGACCAAATTGAGCCAGTCCATCTGGTACTTTTAAGATTTTCATTCAAGGTCCCCCCTTGGATTTTTTCGGTAATTTTTTTTTTTCACCACAAAAAATGCATTTTTTGGTTATTTCTTAGTCTTCCTCGCGATTTTTTCGTGGTAAACCGTGTTAAACGATGTTTTACCACGGTGGCCGACCATGATGGTCTGTTTTTAATTACTTTTTTCGCTTCAAAATGCATTTTCTGGCTATTGCTGGCTGTTTTTTATATGTTAGCCGTGTTAAATGGTGTTCTCACCACGATGGACGATTTTGATGTCCTTTTTACTGTTTCGAAAAACCCACGAAAATTCCTTGTAAACACGATAACTTTCGAATCTCTTGAGCGATTTTGTTTAAATTTTGCAACATGGTGTCTTATATAAATATCTTGAATGTATCAGAAGTTGGACCGAATTGGACCAGACTATCTGGTACTTTTGGTATATCATGGAATTTCACTCAAGGGTCCCCCCTTGGATTTTTTGATCGAAAAAAAAAATTCTATATTTTTTTTTACTGTTTTTACGCGATTTTCCCATGGTAAGTGATGTTAAATGGTGTTATAACACGATGGTCGACCACGATGGACTTCATACCATTTTTACATAGTATAGTCAATATGGGTATCATATGAAAGGTCTTTGAACGGAGATGAACATGAACACCAACCCGGTCCATCACAGTTATGTTAACACCACTTAACAGCATTTTTTTATATGAATAGTTGACATGGGTGTCATATGAAAGGTTTTAAAATGGGCGTGGACATGGACACTATATCCGTCCATCATGGTGACCATGATGGACTTCATACCATTTTTACATAAGTATAGTCAATATGGGTATCATATGAAAGGTCTTGGAACGAAGATGAACATAAATACCATCCGGATCCTTCATGGTTATGGTAACATCACTTAACAATTGCAACATTCCATCCAAGTGATCTATATTTTACATTCTACCGAAAATGTGCGGAAAAGTTCGTTTTACATGGTAAAACATTTTATTTTCTTTTTGGTGTGACTCGATATTATTTTGAATACTTCTGTTTGAAATATTTCTCTCAATTTTCAAATATGCCAAATATACAAAATGTCCTGATGAATTTTGCGAACAAATCATGCTTCAATAGTTGAAATATTTGGCATTTTTGAATATATTTCAAAATATTCCATATAAATTTGTTCGTATCAAGCCCTTCGACGGATACTTTGACTTGTTACAAATGTAAGCCAATGCAAGAGTACGCGAATGTATACCTACTTTACTTCATCCAATAAATGTAAATGTGTTAAAGTGAAATATAAATAATATAACATTATAAATCAGAATAAACAAAGCCACCAGGCTTCAGCCCAGGCCGTTCTTTCATGTTCACACAATTGATGATTCCACAAATGTGTTTTTCTTGGTCTTGTTTTAGTTCACATTTTTGTTTCCACTTCTTCGTGCTTTTCTTGTGTGTGAACAGTGTATGTTATAATCTGAATGTCAGCTCTTATAAATTTTCATTGTCTGGTTGAAGTTGCTCACAAAGATTGCCTGTAATCATGTAATGAACTATGAAAGCGCTTCATCACCTTAATTTAAAACCGGCTCATCTGTGAGGGGCAAGAGGAAGAGGTGTGTGTTGTTCGTCTTCATTTTTCATTTTGTTCTGAAATTGTTTTAACAGTTGCGAGAAAGAAAGTGTGTGTGAGTGAGAGAGAAAGAGAGAGAGAGAGAGAGAGCGAGAAAGGGAGGAAGAGAAAAGAAATCGGAACACAACAAGATTTTAAGTGTAAAAAATCTGATTAAGCTTGCTTGTCTCCGTTGCTAATCCAACACAAGGTCTATCTATCATCAGCACGTTTTTAAGGAATTTTCTTTGGTTTATCATTCAAATAGACACTTGTTGTTGTGCGGTCATTTCCAGCATGTCGCGAAGTTTTATCGCTTTTGCGAAAAACTTTGGCACACAGGAGAATGATGAATGAGGCTATGACAATAAAATATTCATTATAGATTCATGTCTATAAAAGAACTTTCTGACATTATCACCGCCGTTAATTCGATTCCATTTGCACGTAAGCATCGAGCTAAATAGCACACACTCGACTTGATTCCATCACATCTTCTGTTGTAGGTGACTAAAAGCAGATTCCGTGGAATTCATACATTGCATTCACAATGTATGCTTTGCGACCTTTTTTATAACAAATAAAATGTATATTTATATTGTTGCGATGCTCAACATTGAAATCTCGTTATGATGTAGTGAATCAGCATACATTATGTCCTCGTGGGATGGCATAAACAAATTTCACCTATCGACAAAGAAAGCACAATGAAAATCAATGACGCACAAAAAAAAATCATATGCAAATACGGTTTAACTGCTGCCAATAAAAGCGAACCGTCTGAAAATAAAAATTTTTTTATCGCTACAATCGCAGGAATCGGTATCAATCGGGAAATAAGGTGATGTTCCGTTTTCTTTTGTTCGATTTATGAAGTCATTTCGACGCTTCTTTTTTGATTTGCTTCATTTACGACATGGTAAGCAAATTTGGTGGGTTTAACATAAAACCTGAATAATCTTGTACAAATTAAAAACACAATTAAGAATGTATTTGAAAAGCACTTGTAATTCTCTTTTTACAAAATGATGATAATGCCTGTTATTTTGGTAAAAAATCTCCCAAAAGATTGTTCGAAACCGTTGCTGCTGTGTTGTTGTTGCTAATGCTCTACATCGTCTAAACGTATGTGCTGTGTTGTGCATAGACAAAATGCTGTTTGTTTACAACAGACAGCATTAAATACGTGCATAAATATGCTTTGTACGCAATTTTCTCATCGTTGTAGAGAGTTTAAAAATCACGCACTCAAAACACATAATACTAGACACGTACATTGTGCTGAATGATTTTGACGTGTTCCTTGATTTGCTTTGCTTTGCTACCCATTACCGATGAAATCTCACTACGTGAATCTGCATACAAATTCCACGATTATTCTCCAGTGTATGGATTTTGGATTTATTTTAATAATCAAAATAAATTTGTTCTTCCTAATTTCAGCAGTCATATTGTGTTTCTCTTACAAATGCTTTTGCAATGTAACCCTTTTTCCAGTGTGGAACAATTCAAGAGGAAAATATGCTAAAAAGACAGAAACAGGAATAGAAAGAGAGAGGGTGAGCAAGCGACGACGACGATGTCAATGAACCAAATCATGTGGCTGGGATAAAAGGGAAAGCAGCAAACATCGTCTTTAAGATTTGCACGTCCCATGCACACTGCATCCAGCCAGATGTTCGCTCACATCTTATTTGGGATGGTGACATTAGCATGATTTGCCTTTTTTTTCATGAAACTACTTTTGTTTTGCTGCACTTATCATACCCACAAGAATGTTGATGCGATGATTTCTGGTGGAAAACTGAAAATCATTTTCGATTCAAAAAGTATTTCGATTTTTATTCTTTATTTTGTCGTAGATTATTTTCTTGAGAATCATGTAGAAGTCATTGTATTCGTTCTCTTAAATGGAAAATTGCGTCTTAATCAATCTGTGAATGCTCAAATCGCGTAAAATATTTACTGGAGTCAAATGAAAGAAATCATTGCCCTCCATCGCTGAATACGGTCTATGCGACAGAAATTTTACGCACCATCTAAACTATTCTGATCCTTGTCAAACAACAACAACAAAAAAACGGAATGATACGACAAAAAGAGCAATGTCCTCGAGAAAGCAGAGATTAATATGGGATATTTTTATTCATATAAGATAAAAATTTCGCATAAAAATAACAGATATTTTTCAAGCATTGTGTTCAACGTTCAACGCGTTCAATGTTCAGAGTCCAAAAATATCTAATATTTATCGCGCGTTGTTTTCAGCGAAACGCATTAATACACAATAGCGATTCTGCACACACAGAATCGCTGTTTTTTTCGTTATACTCTTCACACTTACGATGAGCTGCGGCGGAGCGTGCATGCACATGTTTCGCTCACTTCTTTCTTTGAACACTCTTCGTGTGTCAACACAATGTCTGTGTGTGTATCGCTTGTGCCGTCATTTGTAAACGACGTCAATGAGCTGGGTACAAAGAGTGTCGATCGAAAGAAAAGAGCAAAACATATATATGCATGCATCGCGCAGCTCATTGACGTCGTTTACAAACGACGCAACAAGCGATATGTTATACCTAACTTCATATCATTTCATACAACTGTCATTTCACACGATGTAAATATGAAACAACTGAATGTCATTTAATAAATCAGTCTATTCTCTAACCTCAACTACAACAGTTTGGCGACGAAGGCGACACGCGAAATGCACTAATAGTCACAGTAAAAAAATTAGTCATTTGATACGTAAAAATAAATTAGATACAGTATTTTTTTTTTTTTTACATACAAGTAAGTCATTGAATTACGGAAAGATGACTGAAGAAACGAACCGAGTAGGAGCTGCGAATCTGGAGGATGGAAATGATCAATTTCATGATTCCATTGCTACGTTACCAGCACAACCGGCACAAGTACCGTTTGCAATTGAACCTTTTTGTTCGGAGGATACCACATGGTCACGTTGGATTGAACGATTTGAAACTGCATTGGAAATTTTCAATTGTGCACAAGGCCGTAAGAAGAAATCGTTTTGTACTACATGGGCTCAAAAACGTACAACATTTTGTGTGATCGAATTTTCCCGAAACATCCGAATGATTTGATTTACGAAGAAATTGTGCGTGAATTGAAGTCATATTTCGATCCACAACCGAACGAGATGGTGGAGAATCACCGATTTCGGCTGAGAAACCAAAAAGAAGGTGAATCATGCGATGATTTTATCAAGGAATTGCGACGATTGTCGGCACATTGCAATTTTGGTGAATACTTGGATACAGCGCTACGAAATCAATTTGTGTTCGGATTGTCGTGTCATAATGTACGTGTGCGTTTGTTGGAGAAGAAAAATCTCACGTTGGCGACCGCCGTTGATATTGCGAAAAGCATGGAATCATCAGCTCGTGGCGGCAAAGAAATTCAACCGGAGAAAAGTGAGGTTAATTTTGTCCGTGACAAAGCAAAGCATGACACAAAGAAACATCCGAAACCACATACAACGAAGTCACACAACTCGTCACATGCGACGACCGATACGACTACCACAAAGAAGAGTCGTAATTGCTTTCGATGTGGTAGTGCACACCACATGGCTTCATCGTGTAATCATATGAAGACAACTTGCCGATACTGCGGTATCAAAGGTCACTTACAGTCCGTATGTTTGAAGCGGAAGAAGCAACAAACACATCAGATCGAGGAGAGTGACGTACAACATGTCGATGAGTTGCTGTCAATAATGGAGAGTAACATACTACACGAGGAACAACACGTTGATGAGCTATTGGCGATTGAATCGCATACTGAAGATTTGTTACACATTTCCAACACCGAATTACGCTCTAAATTTTTGTGCAACTTACTAATAAATGATATTTCTATTTCTTTTGAAATTGATACAGGAGCTCCCGTGACGATCATGAGCTTAGTGGATGCGCGGGCACATTTCGGTGAATTGGAATTGCATGACAACGATTTGGGACTACAAAGCTACACGAAAACACCCATTGAAGTTGTTGGGTTTATGTACGTGTCAGTGACGGCACGCAACGTTAATTCAAAAGTATCCAGTACAAAAGTGAAACTGTACGTGGTCAAATCGGATCGTAAGCCACTTTTAGGACGAGAATGGTTACGACAGATCAAACTTGATTGGAAATCAGTTTTTGAGAAGATGATTTTGTCACCGGAATGTCAAAATCTACACGCAATTGCTACGAATACTACGACTACATTGAAATGTTTGATTCAACGCTACGAACACTTGTTTGCAAAATCAACTGGAACAATTACTGGTACATTGGCTCGTTTGCCAGTCAAAAAGGGTCAATCGCCGAAATTTTTCAAGGCGCGACGAGTTCCATTTGCCTTAGTACAAGCCGTGGAAAAGGAAATTGAGAAACTCGTGTCAGATGGTATTTTGGAGAAAGTTGAGACGAGTGAATGGGCTACTCCAATCGTACCTGTACCAAAAGGCAACGGTGAAGTACGAATTTGCGGAGATTACAAAATTACAGTGAATCAAGCATTGCTCGTTGACGAATACCCACTACCTACGATTAACGAACTATTTAGTTCCATGGCGGGAGGCCAGAAGTTTTCGAAAATCGACTTATCGAAAGCGTACTTACAAATGGAAATTCATCCAGAGGATAGGGAATTGCTCACACTTTCTACACACAAAGGGTTATTTCGACCAACGAGACTCATGTTTGGCGTGGCAAGTGCGCCAGCCAAGTTTCAACGTTTCATGGAAACATTACTTTGCGATATACCAGGTGTTACGGTATTTCTTGACGACATCAAAATTACTGCTGATAACGACGAGGAGCATTTGCGGCGTTTGCAAGAGGTCTTGAAACGTTTACATGATCACAACATGCGCGTCAATTTGGAAAAATGTGAGTTTTTGCAAGACAAAATCGTTTACTGCGGATATGTCATCGATAAGGAAGGCATTCACAAAGTGGAAGAGAAAATCGAGGCGATTGTCAACATGAGTACACCGCGTGACAAAGAAGAGGTACGTGTGTTTCTGGGTTTGGTTAATTATTATGCACGATTTTTACCAGACTTGAGCTCAACGTTGTATCCGATTAATCAATTACTCCGAGATACCATTCCATTCAACTGGTGCAACAAATGTGTGAATGCGTTCGATGAGGTGAAACGATTAATGCAGTCCGATTTGGTGTTGGCACACTACGACCCAACGCAAATTCTGGTTTTAGCGACTGATGCCGGTCCATACGGTGTTGGAGCGGTGCTCAGCCATATCTACAAAGACGGTTCAGAGCGACCGATACAATTTGCATCACAAACATTGTCACCAACTCAACAAAGATACAGCCAGATTGACCGCGAGGCGTATGCGATAATTTTTGGCGTGCGAAAATTTTACCAGTACCTTTACGGAAGGAAATTCATTTTGGTTACCGATAACAAGCCAGTTGCACAGATTTTTTCGCCGTCGAAAGGTTTGCCATTGATGTCGGCTACACGAATGCAACATTATGCGATTTTCCTCGAATCATTCGATTTCAAAATTCAGGTGAAGAAATCAAAGGAAAATGCCAACGCGGATGCATTGTCACGTTTACCAAATCCGCTTGATACGTACAATTACATCGAAGAAAGTGAGTTAATCGAAATCAATGCGATCGAAACTCTACCGGTCAGTGTACCAGAATTGGCCGATGCTACGGATAAGGATCACACTATGCGAAATTTGATTCAAGCACTGAAACATGGACGTCGTTGCGAGAGTAAAGATCGATTTGGCATTGAACAAACAGAATTTGCACTTCAACGAGGATGTTTGATGAGGGGAATTCGTGTCTACGTTCCACCGACCTTGCGCGAACGAGTTTTGTATGAGTTACACTCAGCACATTTTGGAGAGACTAAAATGAAAAGTTTAGCGAGAGGTTATTGTTGGTGGCCAAAAATGGATTGTGACATCGAGAATTTAGTCAAGAATTGTCGAGATTGTCAAAGCGTCCGACCAGAATCAAAGAAAGTCATCGTACATCATTGGATGACACCAAATGAACCATTCGAACGAGTGCATGCCGATTTTGCCGGCCCAATCATGGGTAAATATTTGTTCATTTTGGTTGATGCATACACGAAATGGCCCGAAGTGCGAGTCATACCGAATATTACGGCCGAAACAACCATTGCGGTGTGTCGAGACATTTTTGCTACGTTTGGCATACCAAAATATTTCGTCAGTGACTGGGGAACGCAATTTGTATCTGGTGATTTTCAAGCATTTCTCAAAGTCAATGGGGTTGAACATCGGAAAGGAGCACCATACCACCCAGCTACAAATGGACAAGCAGAGCGGTACGTACAAACGTTTAAGAATAAAATCAAAACATTGAAATGCTCAAGAAACGATTTGAAGAAAAACATTGCAAACATTTTGTTGGCGTATCGTCGTGCAATTCACCCAGCCACGGGCAAATCACCTTCAATGTTAATGTTTGGACGTCAAATGAAGAATCGTTTAGATTTGATGCTGCCAAATGAACACAAACAAGAAGAAGAACACGTGAACATCGGAAAGAATTTCAACCAAAACGATCGAGTCGCTGTTCGTGATTATTTGTCGAATGAAAAATGGAAATTTGGCACAGTTTCGCAAAAATTTGGCAAATTACATTACGAAGTTCAATTGGAGGATGGTCGTAACTGGAAGCGACACGTCGATCAAATGCGTAAAGTCGGAGACGAAATCATTTCGAAACAATCAAACGTTCCAAGTGTTTCGAATGAACCAACGAAAACACCAACTCAAATTTCCGACAATGTCGAAACTTCTATGCAAGCACAATCGTGTGTCAATGAACCAACACACAATCAACCTACATTCATCGCTGAGGAGCCATCGAAGGAGTCACTACCATGCAATTCTAATTTACCGATTCCGTCGATGCCGTCTGCTGAGGTTATGAACGACAAAGGAGTTCCATCGCACAACGAGAGTGAACGAGTAATGAGAAAATCAACCAGAGTTCGACGACCCCCAGAGCGGTTGCAATACCACTGATTGAATAATCAACTTAAATTTGTTTTCTCTTTTCAATTGCTTGTTGCATAGAAGATCGAATTAAGTTTAAAAAAATTTTTTTTTTTTCTTCTTGAATTATTTTAATAAAGAATAGATAAGGAATTTTTCATTTTTTTTGCGGGGGAAAAGCTGTTATACCTAACTTCATATCATTTCATACAACTGTCATTTCACACGATGTAAATATGAAACAACTGAATGTCATTTAATAAATCAGTCTATTCTCTAACCTCAACTACAACACGATATACACACAGACATTGTGTTGACACACGAAAAGCGTTCAAAGAAAGAAGTGAGCGAAACATGTGCATGCACGCTCCGCGCAACTCATCGTAAGTGTGAAGAGTATAATGAAAAAAACAGCGACTCTATGTGTGCAGAATCGCTATTGTGTATTAATGCGTTTCGCTGAACACAATGCGTGAAAAATATCTGTTATTTTTATGCGATATTTCTATCCCATATGAATAAAAATATCCCATAGTAATCTCTGCGAGAAAGAAAAAAGAACCTGCAACAGACACAAAAACCTGTACATTTACTCAAGTAAATTTGGCGTCAGCTCAACAATCATGGTCTCAGTCTACAGCAACTTGACAAACATGAAAATTGTGTACCGAGGAAATATCGTTGAAATATCACGTTATGTTTAATATTCTCTTTCATGTTAACTTTTAGCTCAGTTTACATTTTCTGATTTGATTATGTATAACAGCGGCTGTTTCGGCGTTTCTTTTTGCTTCTTCATCTTCTCGAGTTGGCCTATACATTCGAACGACGTCGGGAATGTGGGTATTTGTGTTTCGCACATATGGTGCGTTATTCATATGATTCATTCCACTTCGTCGACATTGTTGATGACTCCCGTTGCTGCTGCCGCTCCAACTTCTCTACCGTTCGCTCATGAATGGAATCCGATCATTTCGTGCGTTTTTTCCTTCTTTCAAACCGCCAATATCAGATGATTTAAAAGTAATTCCGATGGCAATCAACATGGAATGCGATAAAGACAAGATCACTGAAGGCAAAAGTGATAAATGAAAATATGAGAATTGTGTTAAAATATCGATCCAATCAATAGAACACAGGGAAGATCTGGTCTTTCGAAAAAAAATTCTACAGATGAATTGTGTAACAATCTGATGTTTAAAAAGGGCATAATCATACTTTCATTTGATCACTCAATAAATAATGTCGATGAACTCTGAACACTGATTTCCAAATCGGCTTGTTGAACACTTTAATTTGAACGTGAATCACCCATAAAAAAAATCTCCGCTTCATTTCAATAGATTCATTATTGCTCATATTGGTGGATAAATTACTGTTTACCCAACGGAAAATTTAAATGGAGTAGCAGCAGCGAACGGAACAGAAGAAAAACGAGCACATCAATGTGATAAAATGTTAATTACCAGAACGGACTCGAATTTATGTTTAGCATTAAAATTCTAATCTCCATTCGGAATCGAGATCTAACGATAATGAATGATATTTAATGTTGAACACATGTTGAAGGATAATCAGGGGCGTCTGAAAAATGATATTAGATTGAATGTAATGAGAACATGATGGATAGCCAACTGACCCAGTTGTCAGAAGGTCACGTGCAAGCAAAAAATGCAGTTTCAGATGCACCACGATTTATTCGGAGTACGACGTATCAGCACGGGCTTATCGAGCAAAATCACAATTACATAAAAACATCATTTACAACACAAACGCAACCTATTTTGTTTCGTATTCACACAACTGTGCATTCAAATCCCTTTCAGTGTCTGTCCGATGTTTGCGTAAAACAAGAAGTGAAAGAAAGATACGATGTAATAATACGATGGCGCCAACACATATTGCGATCAATGTGTGTTGCAAATCGACCTCAAACTGAGACACCACTCAAAGCAGCGATCAAACATGGCGTTTTAACGGCTAAATTCATGAATGAACTAATCTCAACGTTGAATAAATAACGAACGATGACGACGATGTCGACGTTCAAATAGATCTCAGCTTTCAATGGTTTCGAAGGGAAGCACGTGTGAGATTATTCTACTGGCTTCTCTTTGTCAACGATTTGAACTCTCATTCGGGGGGCCTTTCAGTCTAAGCCATTTTCAGTTTCCAAGAAAAATTCACTCATTCACAACCGTTATTTTATACAATTACATAGACGCTAAGTCTATAGCTTTCAAGGGTAATCATATTTTAAGCACAACACTGTCACCGAGTATTATCCGTATCATTCATCCAGTTATGCTTTCATTGAATATTTCTTCTATATTTTTTTGTTGTTCGTTGTGTGTGCTATATCGAATCGCGTAGCACAATTCAAGCACGTGGCATTTATCAGATGAGATGTAGCTAAGTGAGTTGAATGATACAGAGAAAGAAGAAATTCGTGTAAGTAGCTATAACTTAGGCCTATTTTTTCATTTGCATACAGTACGCCCCCGCAAATTAGAAATGAAATGTCCCGAGACCATTTCCAATTTGCGGAGTTTTCTAATTTCTGAGGTTTTTTCAATTTCATCCAAAAACGGTGTATCAAATGAAAAACTGATAGGGGGAATGATTTGCTTAATTGAAAACAATATATTAAACACTGTTCAATCAAGTATTGTGTGTAAATACATGCTTATAAGCAGTTATTATAGTGATTATAAATATATAGTAAGTCTGTTAGTTACTGGATAAACTACTCCTCGGAACAAAACGAAATAAATGATGACCTAATCGGTTTCGATTTGTTAATGATTGATGATTGATGATTGACGCAGACAATATTGAACAGATTACTTCGTGACTTAATTTTTAACTTCATGGTAAACGTCGAAAATCTCAAGCTGATCTGCTAATATAGTTATTTAACGAAATGGAAAAGACTTTCATCACATTTTTTCATTAAAAATGAAGTAAATTTCTCTTTGTCTTGAATTAAATGATTCGGAAACCCCGTAAATTAGAAATGAACCCCGGAAATTAGAAATTTTCCATACAAATTTTCAAACCTGAAATTCATTTCTAATTTCTGAGGTTTTCTAATTCTCGGGTTTCTAATTTGCGGGGGCGTACTGTATGTAGAAGATATTTAATGAATATCCTGATGTAACACTCGCTGATTTTTCAATTGGTTCCAAGCACGACAAAGTTCCGTCTGTTAAACAGACTCTGTTTCTATCCAAAATGCATGCTAATTATTATGTTGAATGTTTCAAGTAGATTTTCTTCTTTTTTATTTGCTTTTGTTTGTTTTTTATTGTTTTCTACTTTTTCCACATTATTGGCGGTTGTTAAGTCCGGCAATAAACGTCGTCTATATGATTCGAAAATGATTTGCAGTGAATTTGTTTTGTGTAAGCTTTTGTTGGTATGCCGAAAGAGATATGGCCAGGCCGAAACGAGACTGAAGAAAACCAAAGTTTGTTGGCCAAAAAAAACAAAATTCAGCACTTTATATCCATAGCTAGTCGTTTGATGACGTCGCGAAATAAAATTATGATCCATATAAAGTTTCTCGCCGCTCCATAATTCTATTATCGATCCACCAGCTGAAAAATACAATTCCCCCTTTCCCCTTGACATTTCATTTTATCATTAATTCGCACGCTACTTTAATTTCACGTTCATTGGTCCTTGATTATTTCTTATGACCAGCGGCTATGCACTCAACTTTGGCTAATCTTTCAAATGAGCGTTTGCTAATAACTAAGAGTAAAATGTACACCAATTGTCGAACGAGCGAGTGAGAAGTGAGAGACAGAAAGAAAACGCCAGCATTTTTATGCTATTTCATGGAAAATAAATCAACGAATGAATGAGATGGGACACAAGGCAATGGAAAGTGTTGGACTGTCGAACAGTGTGAGAGAGAGAGAAACGAAATGAGCCAAAAAGTGCTATGGAAATGTAATTTAAATAAATCTCGATACAAAAGCTCACTTATTTACTAAAATTACACCTATTTAACGCTCAAAGGTGTGCGCATGAAACACAAATTACTTCTGACACTTTGAGCTGAAATTCGGTTTTAATTTATGTGTTTCGGTCACCTTTTTTTCCCCTGCACCAACGTATAATCATCGGTTTGGAAAGAAAATTCAACGAAAGTACGAACAATAGTGCAGGTGTGCACATGGGGTTGGTTTTATTAACCTTCAAGTCTGTCAGGAAAATAGTAGCATTGAATTACAGTGAATTCATGTGAATGAAGAGCAGTAGAAAGGGTGAGAGAGAGATAGAATGAGACAGTCAACCAATTGCAAGCAAATTGTTTGGATATGCATTTCTTCAAATTGAAAGATTAAATGAATAGACACTTCAGATTTATGCGTGCAATTTGGCTGAGTGCAATGTTTTATTGACTTTCCCACTTACTCGTTATATCTTTTCTTTGCATTTTTCATTATTGCAGCAGTACTCATGAAAATTACGTTGAAAAATCTTTGCTGCTATTCCATTTCCAAGATAGCGAAAACCTGCTCATTTTTGGCAAATTCAAAAGCACACATCAGCAGCAGCACCAGCAACAACAACAATAGTGGCAAAAAAACGGTGATAAAATTTATCATGCTAATAAAAGGGTCATTGCTGTGAACGTTTTGACGGGCATTCCCATTTTTATTCAAACGAATTGATTTAGATACAGCAGTTATTGAAAGTTATCTTCAACGTTTAAGTGACTCCCGAAATCCCCATTGAGGTGAAATAAAACGGAATCAAACAATTCTGATTGCAACATTTAACAGGCAATTTCGGATGCTCATAAATTCCCACAATATATTCAATTTCCAGAGGGAAAATCTTCTTGAAACGTTCCTCTCTTCGAAAGGCATGTATAAACGAGAGATAGAGAATAATTATCGGAAATAGTGGATATGGTGGCTGCATCGCAGAAAAAATTATCTGTCCCCAAATCACATCGGCCAAAGGTTAGAAAAAGAAACCGTCAAATCACTCTTTATTGACTACAAATACACATAAACATTCGCATTTTGGCAGTGCCTAAAAAATCAATAATGCTACCAAATACTTTGAATACTGGATTTATAAATGAACGTAAGTTGTGTTGGAGAATAAAAAAAATGAATCAAATTAAGTATTCGATGTTTCGTTTATTGCAGAGATATTTTCACTGAATATCTTTGGGGTGTTGCGGCATTGATATGTGTTTTCTATACACATTTTTTCCCTACGCCAAGTCATAATAATGCGTTCACAGTTGTTGCTTATGAT